TAATTGGTTAAATCACAGAGGAAGGCACTATTTGGGATTTAGGCTGATGTTTCTTCACAAAGACTGGCCTTTGTGGCTAATTCTCAGGTTCCATTGATATTGCACAGGGAAAGTGGGACATCCTTGTCCTTTCAACAGCATTTCAAGTGTTGTCAAGCAGCTTAAGATCATTGTTGCTAGGAAAAAGATGAGTTAAGCCATGACAATCGAACATGCAATAAAACCTAATACTGTCAATGATCTCTGCAAACTTACCAAGTCCTATAAATGGAAACATCTGTATCCACTTAAAAAAGTGCATCACTAACATGTTACTTCGTCCGATCCCACAATTTCTATAACAAAATTTTTCAAAACAATATCTGGAAGACACCTCATTTTTTTTCTTGGACATATAGATTGAATCAGCACTCTTAGTAAATAAAGTACATGACTCATCCTGTCATCCTGTCTCTCTTGACAGCTGATGCAAAGTGCACAAAAGAGTTCTCCTTGCTTCCCACCACACTCCACGGCCATGCACCTACTCTCATCTCCATACCCTTCTTTCCTACAATATCATGTAACAAGCATCATGTGAATACCTTAGGGAACCAGATAGCAATAATGGCATTCGTTCAACTATATGTTTCATGTTGACGCTTAAGGCATCAGATTGGTCCTCTGAGGACCACTGAAACAAGGTGATAAAGAACAAGGTAAAATCAACAGCAGAGCACCAGTCTATGCTATTAACATACTGTAGGTGTGTGCACAGGGTGCGAACTACGGGGGAGCTTTTATTATTTTCACGTCTTTTTAAGCCATTCGGTACTCGCGCTCTGCAGCGGCGCGTGCCCTCACAGTCACATCCAAAGCGCGTACTGCCAGTATTGAGAAAGTACTGTCAGTGCAAAATAAAACGCATGAGTATCAGTATTGGATCCGTGAAATAGGTCTTGTGACAGCAGCCTAATAAAGCTGTGCCGTCTTTTATTAATGTTAATCAAACAACAAAAGACAGAGAAAATCCCTTACTGCTCTTGACTAAATAATGTTTTGTTGAATAACTTTTAATGTTAATTTACAGTTTATTCAATTTCTGTAGCCTATTTAAAACACGTTCATAATTTAAAAATGTAGTTAATACTTGCATCATTAATGATTTACTTTATCCACCCGCGACCCACCCGCAAATAATCAGAATGCATTTTTTTTATTACCCGACCCACCCGATCCGCGGATTATCCGCAGCGCCCGCGGATATAACCGCCATCCGCGCATCACTAGAAGGTAAGGCATGTTATTCGCAATTATGTGTTGTGGCTGGGTTGTTATAGGTCTGTGTGACTCTCGATGTTTTAGGCCTAACTGAACGGAGGAATTATGGCATTCTTCTGAAGCCTGACGACGAGTAACTTTAACCGTTCTTTATGTGAACTCAAAGACAGCCTGATGCTTTGTTTCTAGACTATTTGTGGGTGGCTGTTTGTTGTTTCACCTATCAATTCGTGTCGATAAAGTATAATAGGGTAAATCCTGTATAGTGATTTATCCTATATAGTGCTTGCATAAAGCAAGTAGTGCATACACTTGTAGCTGTTATGTATCTTCGACCGAGCCCCCCCCCCGTTATTAAAAAAAACAAAACAAGTGGGCTCCCCCAAAGTCCACGGAATAGTTCGAACACTGTGTGTGCAGGTATGAAACACTGAGCAAGGCATCTCTCTATTACCGTTGTTCTCATCTCTAAGACAGCACAGATCACCACTGCCCCCTATTGGTGCAATGGCAACACAAAGAGACACACAGGAGGAGTGCTGTGATGGCACTGTTGAGGGTGTGTTCTTTGCTCTCAATCTCTAACATTGTGCAATAAGCAAAGCCAAAGATGAACAGAGATTTTGATGCTTCATATGCATGTTTTTATAATTCTATTACAGGATATAGCAAACCACTACAAAATATAAATTATATCAATGAAGTGAAAAAATAGCATGATTACTCTGCGTTGTCATGATTACAACAGCCTAAACTTGTTGATTTGTCTTAGCTAGTTTAAGGGATACATCCAAAAATGAAAATTATGTTGTAATTTACTCTCCTTCATGTCGATCCAAACCTGCATGACTTTCTTCCTACTGTGGAACACAAAAGAAGATAGTTTGAAGACTGCTGGTAACTGTTAGTTATAAAGAAGTTTCAGTAACCATTGACTTCCATTGTATGGACAAAAAAATGCAATGGAAGTCCATTGGAACTGAAACTGGTTGGTTATTAACATTCTTCAGAATATGTTTTGTGTTCAGCAGAAGAAAGAAATGCATGTAGGTTTGGAACGACATGCGGGAGAGTAAATGATGACAGAATATACCCTCAGCAGGGTATTCTTCATTTTATATTTTGTTAATGTTACTGCTAAAACACGTGTAGTTTTTGGACATTTCTGACTATGAATATCTGCAATAGTTCTTTAACATGCCATACTTACAGACACCCTGCTAACTTATCCTGCTCACATACTATCCTTGCACTTTAATGGTTCTAAGAAAACTACACCAAATCCAAGAAATCTGAACCAGAAAAAAACTTTCTTTCAGTTAGTTTGTGACTTCTAATTATAGAAAAAAGTTCTACACAGTAAAATCAGCAGTGTAATATTTGCAGTGTTAAAAGTTATTAATTCCCAAAGAGTTGAATTAACAATCTACAGTGTTAAACAGTACTCATGTTCAGTGTTGTTATATGGTGTAATTTCACTTTTACACTAAAAGTGCTGAATAAAAAACCCGCCGAATTGTCTGGACTCCGCCCTTCATTGACTGCTGCCTCGCAATGTGACGACGCCATTTTTTCTTCAAGCGACCGAGACGGTAAGTTGGATTGCTTTTCTCTTTATAAAAGTACACATTATCAACAACATTTTTGTTGATAATTTTACTCAAACTATGATTGGTGGTGAACATATTTAGAAATTACTAACTGCGCGTGCGTAATCTGTACGTTGCTTGTTCTCAGCGCTGAATATCATGTCCTCATATCTGCGTCAAGACACAAACGCGCTAACTTACCATCAAGCTTTTCTTATGACAATTACGTTTATGCAAGCATCGTGAAAGTGAGTTAAAGGTACGTTAAACTGTAAATCCGTCAGTCTTTAAATTTCCTTCAGTGCCCACTGGCAGAGCATGCAGGTACTTTAGCTTGAAACCAGTCTTTATCAATTCATATGGCATGCTATTTTGGGTTAAATAATGTCCTAAATATTTCTAGATATACAAAGAACAGCTTGATTGCATAGAAGAGACCACACAGCCATACCTGCTCGCTGATGGGACAACGAGGAACATCATTCATGGATGCTACACAACTGTCAAATCTACCTGTCATATTTGTTCATGTCTAGGTAAATTTGATGATTTTGTGTTTTATTTTATGTTTCTGTGCAACACTAAATGAATGTGACTGACTAAATAACCTCTACACATCTGATGAAAAATTCAACACTATGAACGGTGTACTTTTAACACTAGACAGATTGGGACCATATATGATCTTTAGAAGTGTTAAACTGACACTGCGTTTTTTACTGTGTAGTTAGAAAATTGACCCAAGGCTTATTTGCAGTCTTTCTAACAGGCTTATGAATTATGAGTATTCCATCTAAAATACTGTGGATTTGTACAAGACGGAGTGAAATAGGTTGAAGAATGAAAAAAAAAAAAGACTGGCTGCCAGATTTATGAATAAGTAACGTGTATGAAGTCAATACATCATTATTATTGACACTGAGAGCAACTCACATATGACTCAAATGTATTCAGTCAGGTTACCCAGGAAGAACACTTTAGGCTATGTGACAATATATTTGTGACCCTGGACCACAAAACCAGTCTTAAGTCGCTTGGGTATATTTTTTAGCAATAACCAAAAAAACATTGTATGGGTCAAAATTATCGATTTTTCTTTTATGCCAAAAATCATTAGGATATTAAGTAAAGATCATGTTCCATGAAAATATTTTGTAAATTTCCTACCGTAAATATATCAAAACTTACTTTTTGATTAGTAATATGCATTGCTAAGAACTTCATTTGGAGAACTTTAAAGGTGATTTTCTCACCTTAAAGGTGATAGTTGTATCTCGGCCAAATATTGTCCTATCCTAACAAACCATACATCAATGGAAAGCTTTCAGATTATGTATAAATCTCAATTTCAGAAAATTGACCCTTATGACTGGTTTTGTGGTCCAGGGTCACATTTTTCATAGTGTAAGATCATACCTGTATCTCTCAGGTATTAATGGACAGGTTACTGGCGAGTTTTCTCTGGAGACTGTCAGTATTCATGTGTAAAATTCTATTGAAATATAAAACATCCACATCAAATCTGGAGTCAGCAGACTCCACCACAACAGAGAGGCAAAGTGAAATGCTGCTGTAAACACAAGATCAGAGGCAGGAGTTGGGTGCTGCTGTAGGACACATCTCTCTGCGCTCATTTACAGTGCAGTTGTTTAGATGTCAGCAGGAGTTAGGTGAACATGCCAAACTTTTTTTCAGGATACAGCCAACCACTGTTCATAAACTTTCAGGTAGCACAGAACGATGAAACAAGCACAGCCATATCATAATCATTTGCATGTATGCAGTGGTATTATACAATCGGTTTTCAAATTCTTTTGGAAAAGAAGACAGCACAATGTATGTATTTATGAATATATGTATTTTTTGAAGGTCCGTTTGCACTGTGATTTTGTAATATTATGCAGTGCAAGGGATTAATGTTCCCATAGCTTCTTGCTTATGAGAGGACTAAAGCAAGTTTTGGTCAAGAACATTATTAGATTGCATTTATCATTATCGCTTCACTGTGATTATCTGCTATGAGTTATTGGACTAACAGGCACAGAGAGAGGTACATTTTGAGCTCCTCCCTTAATTCCTCTCCTGAAGACCCTAAACTCAGAAGAGCTGCGTTCCAGCATGTTGTCTGTTCATAAAGAGGTGTACGAACGACGAGACACAACTTGAGCATCATTATATATGACATTTAAGCAATATGCAATTCCTGTTTTTAAACTTCAACATTTTCACGTGGATTTGAGCAAGGGGACATCTGTTGATTTTGTCAAAGCTAAGTTTACTAAAAACTGAAATTTCATCAGTACTTACATCGATTCGTGAGATTATTGTTCATCATGTGGAAACTGCTGGCCTGTGTTCTCATGGCCTCTGTTTTGCAGGCGCGTGATCTGCGGACGAGACAAACTATATGCCCAAATGTGTGCGACCTGTCCCGCTGCTCATTTGCTCTAGAGTCTTGTTATTTCGGCGTGGCGAAGGACAGATGTGACTGCTGCACTGTGTGTGCGGCGGGAGAGGGGGAGTATTGTGGCGAGCGCGGACATGCAGTTTGCGGTCAGGGGATGACCTGTGAATATCGCACCAGTACGCACGGCACGTGCGTGTGCGACTCCCACGAGCCAGTGTGCGGCAGCGATGGGAGAACATATCCCAGTATCTGTCGACTGAAAGCTGAGAACAGACGGGCTGAGATGAGTGGCATACCTGCAGTCATTTTCATCCAGAGAGGCCCCTGCGAGACCGGTGAGGGGAAAAACTGTTTGTTTTGGTGTTCATGACACCTGGACAACTTGACTTGAAGTTAATCACAATCTAAACGGTGTAGCTGTTTTTTTCCTTGCAGCGGACGCAACAATTTATATTAAAAGTAATGTAGCAAATGTAATTTGACGAGCTGACAGAAAGTGTCGTAAAAACAACACCTACACATAACACTTTGTCGGAGAAAAAAAAAGTATGTACAGTAGTTAAGTTACCTAACAATAAAATACGATGTTAAATTTTAATCAATAATACAGTTACTGTAAAATATTTTTAAAAAGAAAAACAAATATTACTTTTATAATACTTTTACTGTAAAATTTTGTTTAAATGTGTATTTACAAGTGAAAAACTATGAATCGTCTTAGATATGGGGAATGGTCTTTGTTATTATTGATCACTATTAATCAAATGGACATAATCATATATTTCAGTGATTTCTGTTATGCAGTACATTGTCATGTCGCCATCATCATGTTCATTTTCCTTTCCCTAATCATATCAAATATTTGAAACAAAACAAAGTATTGTTTGGTCATAAATTTACTGTGGTCTCAGTTTCTAATTTGCATTCTGATAAAATTCCTTTTATTTAACAAAAGCCAGTGCCTTCCATCCTGATGAAATGTTTTTAAGCTGTAACTTCCAAATCTTCACAACACAGGAATATTATTATTTTTTTAAGTTGCTGCATTACAAGATTGACTCCTTTAAACCCAGATTTTTGCATATCTCATGTCTAGCACAGATGTCACTGAAATACTACAGCTACTTCCGCAATACTGAGAAAGTGAAAATCAAAAAGTAATTCAAGGGGCATATCGTATCAGATATGAGTGAGTACAGCTTGACTTTACAGCTTCATGCAAAATTCAACCAAATCCCCCATAAAAAAGTAAGAAGAGGCATTTATGTGATAATAGATTTATGACTCAAGCCACAAACCTCTGCAGTAAAAGAGATGCAGCATTTCAAATCTATTTCAATGTCAAGGGAACTCTCATAGCATTCATTTCAGCACATGTCAGTGCTGGCATTCAGCAGTTTTGCATATTGCAGAGGAAAAAGCAGAGGAGTTGTTCTTTGTCACTTGTTGTTATAAGCCAAATCGTGGAGCACCTTTTGAGCATCAGTATTTTCATAGCATGTTGGTTTTATAAATGAACTGAAACCTTGGAATGTTATTGCTATAGCTACCAAAAGTGTTACCATATTAGTACAGAGATTATTATTGACATTTTTAAATGCATTCTTTTTATTGTGCCATAATACTTATGGGGTGATTTCCACCACTTCTACATTTGTAGCACTAATGTAAGTCATCATATTGTGTTCTTTTCCCATTCTCACAGCTTGAGGTATGATTTGACACACAGATGTTTGTATTAAATAGTCCCCTTACAGTGTTAGTACAAATAGCCCAGCACTGAGAAACTATTTTTATTGTTTTCTATAAATTAAGGTGGTGCTAGCGGCGATGGTCAATATGTGAGTTCTACACAATCCCACTGACACCAGAATCATTCCAGGGGATATGAGAACAGTGATGCATTTTTTTCTTCTTCAGAGAAGACAAGAAGTATTATGTAAATGATTAAGTTAGTATATATTAAAGGCAAATTTTTAAAGGGATAGTTCACCCCAAAATAAAAATTTTGCTATCATTTACTCACCCTCATTCCTCACGTCATCCAAACCCATATGACTTTCATTCTTCCATGAAGAATCTTTGAGCCGTTTTCTTCTAGACAGTAAATGTGGATGGGGACCAGAGACTGTCAAGCTTCATAAAGGAATGCACTTTATTCAAAGTCTTCAGAAGTCATATGAGAGCTGTAAAGGAAGAAGCTTAAATTTAAGATATCCACTAAAAATTGTGCCTTGAAACTTGCCTGACAGCCGTGGACACGTTTCAGTTTCATTGTATGGAAAAGAGCAACTTTGACTGTAAATATCTCCTTTTACCTTACACAGAAGAAAGAACATAATCTGAGTTTTCAAAAGACAATAGTAAATCATTTTATTTACATTATTTAAACAAAAAATATATATATTATGCAGCTCTGAACTATTGAATGAAATTTTTCTTAAATGTTTGAAAAATTTACAATAAGAAATATACTTGTATTTAAAAAATCACACACACACACACACACACACACATTCAGGTGAAACCCCTTTTTTATGCATACAAATGTTCTCTGGCCAAGAGGTTCAAATTTATTTTGTTTTGACAGTTATGCCTTGGGATATATGATCCATCTATGAAAACCATGTGACATGTTCTGTCAGCTATGCCTTGCCAAATTCAGGGGTCCCCAAAGGGCTGGAAAACACAATGTCACAAGCAATTCAGCTCTGAAAGTGGACTCAGTATGCGAAAATAGTCAAGGGAACAATGATTTTGTTAAGTGGTAACAAGTGGTAACATGTGGATTACGTAACCTTTATTTGTTGCTTTGTATCCACGTTCAGTACAAGTTTGCATATACATAGCATCAGCTGATTCTGTGCTGGTTTCTTTGGCAGAAAAGTAAGAGAGAAGATGATTTAAACAATGATGTCTCAATTTATTAGGACAGGTTTTTATGGTGCTGCAACTGTGGTTTATTGTCATGATTTCTCATTTCTTACTATAGATATTTATATATTTTTTGGGTTTACCTGTTGTGGTTCACCCCAGTGAAACCTGAACATGTAATGTCGGGACCCTGACTTTCTCTCAGAGGAGCACAGCTGCTGTCAGCTGCCACAGACTTGGAGATAAGCATGTAACATCAATTTATGCAGAGACTGTGTGACAAGTTCTCCCTCAGTGCCTTCAGATAACAGGGTGAAGGAAGGAGCTCCACAGGGCTGTTTGCTTTACTCATAGCTTGTGCCCACACGGTACTATTGTTGATGTGCAACATGTTGAAGAGCAACTTTGTGGCATTGATAATGCATTTTAGATTTTAGTCTTGCAGAGTTGTCAAGCTCTGTTTTATGCAGATGTTTTTGGCTTGGGCTCTATTTAAAAACAGGCAAGTATTACTTTATGTAATTTGTGCCGCTTTTGTCTGTTCTCTTTGTTCTGACAGGCTCTCGAAATCCAAGCAGCATGCGCTACAAATTTAACTTCATAGCAGATGTGGTGGATAAGATTGCCCCTGCAGTGGTCCATCTAGAACTGTTTACTAGGTAAGGACAGATGGTGTTGGTTGTTTAGATGCTGAGCACAGAGTGACATGCTGGTTATAATGCTTGGTATTCTTAGCTGCCGCAGAATGAACTCTCCATATGTGATTCAATTATGACAATATAATAGTTTTTGCTTGCTTGTTTAGACGGGTTCAAAAATGAGAGTAGAAGAAATATATAGTCAAGTCACCTTTATTTGACTTAATAAACACTGCTATTTGGATAACTGTTACTGCATTTTGCATAAATTAAACATTAGTATATAATTATGTGAGAAAATATGCATAAAGTCAACACCACTAAACATTTACAATAAACAGTTGTGTTACATTTCATAACACAATTTAAAAGGATGTTATAACTCAAAGGTTTGGGGTCTGTAAGATTGTTTAATGTTTTTGAAAGAAGTCTCTTATGCTCACCAAGGCTGCATTTATTTGATAAAAAATACAGTAAAACAGTAATATTGTAAAAAATATTATTAAAATAACTGTTTTCAGTTTTAATATATTTTAATTATTGTAATTTATTCATGTGATGGCAAAACTGAATTTTCAGCAGCTGCTACTCCAGTATTGTGTGTCACTTTCCTAATATGCTACAATTCTAATATGCTAATTTGGTGCTCAAGAAACATTTCTTATTATTATTTTATTATTAAAAATAGTTGTGCTGTTTAATGTTATCGTGATACATTTTTTAGGATTCTTATAAGAAATCTTACTTACTCCAAACTTTTGAACAGCAGTGTATTTAAAAAATATTTAGTGGTATTTTAATACAGACAAGAAGTTGGAATTTGCTGCAAAAAAATGTTGTGAAATTTCTCAACAAACAAATTTTTTCTTATACACTCATACACCAAGGGACTATTTCCCCGATGTTTCCTTCCAGACTTCCATTTTCCAACCAAGACGTCCCTGTGTCCAGTGGTTCAGGGTTTATAGTGTCAGAGGATGGGTGGATCATCACCAATGCACATGTACTGTCCAATAAGCAACATATCAAAGTGGAGCTGAAAAATGGCATGCTCTACGATGCCACAATCAAAGATGTGGATCAAAAATTAGACCTTGCTCTCATTAAAATCGACTCAGAGGTAAGTAGGCCAAGATGTCCAAAATCTGATCAGGTGACATGGATAAATTATTTAACCAATGGCAAAAACTAACCTCCAGAGGTCTTAAGTGGTCAAATTACCTTTTGTTGCTTTGTAAAAAATGTTGTCTTTGCATTTTATGACTCAGGGGCACTAGTTTATCATCAGCGACTAGCATCACAGCTGCTGGATGTAAATGAATCTTGGGGAGGCAGTCCAGCAGATGTTTCTGGAGTCAGCAAGGGCTTGTGCCACCAAAAATTAGATTCTGCTTCATGATATGGTTAATTTGTTTTCTGATTTTCTCAGGAGAAAATTTGTCTCGGTCTTACAAATTCCAACTTTCCGCCTATTTTCGCTGTGCGCTTGTGACCATGCAAGATATTTGCCACTGAAACCTGCCTTTGTAAACAGGACCAGCAGAGGACCCTGAAATATCTCCTGACAGAAATACAAAGCCATCCAAACAGTAAAAAAAAGACCTTTCAGACTGATTTAGAACCACCTAACTCTTAAAACCGTCTGTAAAGACAAGCTTTGATCAGCAGCATAGAGCTTCCTCTACTAACACCAATAACGCCTCGCCATAACCAAGACCATAGCAGCAGCATGTAGCACAATGATTGTAATCACTTTAATTCAGTCCCATATTGTGTATGGCTGCCTGTGGTTTCAGAAAGTGGGGGAAAAGTGCTGGGGAGGCAGATGGCAATCTGTTATTCTGCAGTGCTCAGGCCCCCAGCAGTAGCCTGCAGAGTCAAGGTTGGGACAGAGTGTAAAGACGTCCTGCTCAGCAAGCTCCGGTAATCAAGCCTGGTGCATCAGCCTGAAGTCATAAAAATGCACACTACAGAGCACAGGCAGGCAGGGGCAGGCTCAGGCCCAGACTGGCTGCTGGCTTCAAACATTTCAAGGAAACTTATTAGACTGTTCTAAAAAGGTGACGGCACATATAGTAAAGCTTTTTTTCCCTGGAAAAAAAGTTGTTGTGGCTGTATCATTTTAAGTCGGAGATCGCGGTGAGTTGTTTGTGGGAAAACGTCAATAAAATCATTATTAAATATGGTGTTTATTACAAATGTAATAAATATGTATACTATTATAGTATATTAATATTTTCAATTAGTTTTTATTTTATTTTAGTAATTTTGTTATGTGCTTTTGTTATTTTTAATAATTTTTTCTATTTAAATTTTAGTATTTTATTTCAATTACTAAAAAGATGTAATATTGTATAAAATTTGTAATCATTTTTAGTTAACAATAACTGGCTTAAATAAATCTGAAGAAAATTCTGTCAAAAGTCAGCAGATTGTTTAGAACTGTTTCCTCAAACGATTTTATGACAGCCACCATTTAAATGATTATATCTGGACATGGGTCTGGAGTCGAAACATTAATTATATAAATAGCCTATTTTTTCATTTGTGCACAAAACTGTTTTTATTGGTCGAAACAACTTAAAAAGCAGGTCACATTTGTATACAAAAATCAGCAAGCTGGCAAAATATGTTTTACAGGAACAAATAAAATACATTATGTCTCTCTCTCTCTCTTATACAGACTCCCCTGCCTGTGCTTTTACTTGGTCGTTCTTCAGACCTGAGGCCAGGAGAGTTTGTAGTAGCTGTGGGAAGCCCGTTTTCCCTTCAAAACACAGTGACCACCGGTATCATCAGCACTACCCACCGAGGAGGTCATGAACTTGGCCTGCAGAACTCTGATATGGATTATATTCAAACAGATGCCATTATAAATGTAACCATTCTACATATAGACACTATTATCAATATAGACAGTTTAGCTCATGTACATGAATAGAATGTCAATGTTTTCTTTCACAGTACGGAAACTCAGGAGGACCTCTTGTAAACTTGGTAAGGACCATTTATTCTCCTGTCTCTTATTTGGCATTAAGTATTTGCAACTTTTAACATCTAAGTGAAAGAAAACACCAACATGTCAGAAAAAAAAAATAAAAAAAACAGAATCACTGAGTTGGAAAAAGGATCACCCCCTCCTAAAAATGACTTGTAAAGTGTAGCTAATCACCTTCTCAATGGCACACAAAGCCATTTGACTTTCAACTGTGATAAGCTGTGGTCATTTTGATTAGCTCAGCATTGTCACGGTCAACAGCTGGAGTGCCCAAGATGGCCACCAGAGGGCACTCCTGTGGATTTTTGTGAGCACATGGCTTGTGTTGTGTTTGTTTGGTGCCATGTGCTCTCTCTTGTCTTATTGTCTGTCCCCTCCCATCTTGTCACCTCATTATTGTTTAAGTTACTCCACCTGTGTCTCCTTCGTTACCCTCCTCGTTTGTCTCCCTATTTATTCTCCTTGTGCTTGCAGTCCTGTGCTTCTTCATTGTTGTATGTAGTCAGATGTGTCTGTGTGTTTCTGGTATTGGGCCAGCTCTACCTGCTATGCCCTTCACGCCTGTTTTTCCCCCTCGGGGTAGTTTGTGTTTCATTTTATTATTAAAAAGACCCATTATTCTCCTGCATTTGAGTCCTCGCCTCATCACACTCCAGTACCATGACAAGCATAAAAAAAGAGCTTTCCTGGAGCATTTCAGTCCTTGGTAGTGCACCTGAAGCAAACAATCAACTATGGGTGGCAAGACACTGTCAAAAGATCTCTTGGATAAAGTTGTGAACAGGCACAAGTCAGGAGGTGGTTACAAAAAAAATTCAAAGGCTTTATCAATGCCTAGAAGCACAGTGAAGTCTATTATTAAGAAGTGAATGGTATTTGGTAAAACACAGACCCTCCTTGAATCAGGACGTCGAAAGAGCCAGGAGGAAGCTGGTCAGAGAGGCTACCAAGAGGCCTACAGCAGCTCTGAAGCAGATGCAGGAATTTATAACAAATAGCGGTCATTGTGTGCATGTGACAACAAGATCACAAATTCTCCACAAATGTGGCTTGTATGTGGGTTGCAGGGTTCAACAATATATCTGGCAGAAATCCAATACAGCTCACCATCCAAATAACAGCCTTCCTACAGTAAAGCATGGAGGTGGTAATAGCCTGTTATGGGGTGTTTCTCTGCAGCAGGGACTGGAGCACTTGTTGGGATAGAAGGAAAAATGGATGGGGAAAAATACCGTCAAATTATTAGGAATTGAGGAAAATCTGCTGTCCTCTGCCAGAAAGTTGTCAATGGGGAAAAGGTTTACCTTCCAACATGCCAATGACCCAAAGCACACAGGAAACCTGAGCACACAGTGATTGTAGGAGAAAAATGTGGATGTCCCTGCATGGCCTAGTCAGAGCCCAGACTTAAACCCCATTGAAAATCTGTGGAATGACTTAAAGACTGCAGTCCACAAACAGTCACCAACAAATTAAACTGAACTTGAGCAGTTCTGCAAAGAAAAGTGGGCAAATATTGCAAAGTCTAGATGTGCAAAGTTAGTAGAGACATATCCCAACAGACTAAAGGCTGTAATTAAAGCTAAAGGTGGTTCAACAAAATACTGACACAAGGGAGTGATCCTTTTTCAAACTCAGTGATTGTTTTGTTTTTTGTTTTTTTCTGACATGTTGGTGTTATGTCTTTCACTTGGATGTTATATGTTGCACTGAGTAAATTCAGCTGGATAAATAAAAAAATGTGTCCATCTTCATTTCTGGCTGCAAAGCAACAAAATGTGAGTATTTTAAAGGGGATTTATTTATTTTCTATACCCACTGTAATTCTCACTCTCAGCTGCTACTGATTTGTTTATCTCTATTTGTTTCTGGAAAACTTCCCCCAAGGTTATAACTCTTGTTTTTATTTGTGCAACATTCAGTTTTGGTATTCATGGTTCCTTACGGTGCAGTGTCTACTGTTTCTGTCTGCTTCCATCTGGAAATTTAGTATACCCTGGGCAAATTACCTGTAGTGATTTATATTATTCTATTGATCTTTGTAAAGGAAAACACAACATGTGTCCTTGAAGGAGCCTCAGGCTCAAGCATGCATCTGGTTTTGCAATAAAAAATATATTTCCATTTATAGTGCACAATGGAAGCTTGAAAATATGTAAAAAATAAAATAAAATAAAACCTTGCACAGATGCACCATAAACTGGAATCAAGCGATACAACAGTATAAGTAATATATATATAAAAAGTATTATTTTATATTTATTTTTTATTATTTATTTTTAATAAACTATGTACATGCAAACATCTTTCATTTTACTTGTTTAAATAATGACCTCAGTATTCCCTATTACTGTTCAATTTTTTTTCTTTATGTCTTGTAATGTGTTACATGTTTTTTTTTTTTTTTAGTGTTAGATTTCCTTTTACTTGTTTAGTTAGGTAGATATGTCGGTGTGCAAGGATCAAATTGTGGTTTCTGCTGTAACAATCTAATTTCCTGTGAAGGATTAATAAAGTATTTAATAATAATAATAATAAAAATTAGTAAACCTAGTGACCACCGTCCCCTTGTGTGTCTCAAAGTAGCTGTTAATTCATTACAGTGCATTTCAACATTATGCTCCCTGTTTGCCGTTTCAAGGATGGGGATGTCATTGGCATAAACACGCTAAAGGTTACGCCAGGAATATCATTTGCCATTCCCTCGGACCGCATACGGCAGTTCCTTGCAGACTCCTATGACAGACAAAGAAAAGGTTTGCAAATTTCTTATGAGCTGCTTAGTTGTTTTTATCTTGATTAAATTAACTACTTTCTTAAATTTTCAGGAAGAATGCAGACTAAAAAAAGATATATAGGAGTGCGAATGCTTCAACTTTCAGCTGCGTAAGTTTGGTTTTTTTTCCTTCTTTTCAAATATGCTTTTATGAAGATAAAGATATATTTATATATATTTTTTTTAATTATCATGTTTGTGTCAACAGTTTGATTAAGGAGCTCAAGGAGAAGGAGAGAAACTTTGCAGATGTGAGCTCAGGGGTGTATGTGTATGAGGTTATTCCAGGGACAGCTGCCTTCAGGTAAAGGCATTTGCCTACACCTCCTCTTACTCCTCCCGATTAACCCCAACCACACCTCTAAGCCCAGAGGCCCCTTTCATACTATCCTAACCTTCAGTCAGATCAAGATATATATCCTCATCGTATACCACAAGGGCTTTTACATATTTGCCAAAGAATACATTTTTCCTATAGCACCTCTGTCCTATGATGACATTCCTCCTAAGGAATTTTGTTTTTGTGTCTGGCATTAGAAATTTAAAGGGATAGTTCACCCAAAAATGAAAATTGTCATTTACTCACCCTCATGTCATTCCAAACCTATATGACTTACTTTCTACTTTGAAACAGATATTTTGAGGAATGTTGATAATCAAAACAGTTGGAAACCAAATTGGTTCCCATTGATTTCCATTGTATGCCCCAGAATTTTTTGGTCACCAACATTCTTTACATAATGACAGAATTTTCATTTTTGGGTGAACTATCATTTTAAGTGGATAAGTTTGCTTCAGCTATTGTCTTCAAGTGCACTGTCCACTTGAACAAACTACAGATAATTAAAGCAAAACACCCTGGCCTCTCTATTGCTTTCTTATTTTAATTTACAAATAAATGGGACCGTTTAGATCCCAAGCCTGATCAGCTGCAATTAACGCTCACAATACAAGCTGTACTGTGTAGATTAACAAAGATTATCACAAACATTTCACTTTGTTTTGTACTTTTGTAGCGCTGGCTTGCTCAACCAAGATGTGATAATCAGCATTAATGGACAATCAGTGCATTCTACAGAGGATGTGAGTCAGGCCGTGCAGTCAGACAGAGTTCTCTCTTTGGTGGTGCAACGTGCTAATGAAAACTTCACACTAACAGTGGTTCCTGATGAAGTGGACTGAAGCTTTCTGGTGCTAGTTTTTATCTACGTACCTCCAAACAATATATTATCCACAAATGTGCATCACTTGAAAAGCAGTGGTTCCCAACCCTGGTCCTGGAGGCACCCCAACACTGCACATTTTGCATGTCTCCTTTCTCTGACACACCAGTTTCAGGTCTTGGAGCAGGGGTCATCAGATTCGGTCCTGGAGGGTCGCCGTCCTGCAGAGTTTAGCTCCAACCCTAATTAAACACACCTGAACCAGCTAATCAAGCTCTTACTAGGTATACTTCAAACTTCCAAGTAGGTGTGCTGAGGCAAGTTGGAGCCAAACTCTGCAGGACTCCAGCCCTCCAGGACCGAGTTTGGTGACCCCTGTCTTGGAGTCTCTACTAATGAGCTGATGACCTAAATCAGGTGTGCTTGATTAAGGAGACATGCAAAACGTGCAGTGTTGGGGTGCCTCCAGGACCTGGGTTGGGAACCACTGGCATACAGTATAAGGAAATGTCAAGGCCAAGTGATGCGTTTTGATACGAATACGAAAGTCTTTTATTTTTAAGATGTATTGTTCTTCTGTATATATTATCCTGATTGAGTGTAATGTCAGTTTTACATTGCCAAATATCATAAGATACTCATATACACTACTGTTAAAATTTAAATTTAAAATAACTGTTTTACATTTTAATATATTTTAAAATGTAAGATATTCCTGAGATGACAAAACTGAATTTTCAGCAGTCATTACTCCAGTCTTTAGTATCACGTGATCCTTCAGAAATCATTCTAATATGCTGATTTGCTGCTCAAGAAACAAGCATTGTGTTTTGAGATAAAGAGAATTGTAGTGCATGCAAACATTGAAGCCGATTATCTGTCAGGCTGCAATCCATCACATGGTCAACATCCACACACCTCATGCACTTACTTCCTGCTGCTTTCAATTGTTTTCAAATATAAAATCCTTTTCACTGCCATGCACCATTCAAACAAGTCTTTGTACCCATATTATTTTAACAAAGCCAAAAGGGGGGAGTTGTGGCCTAACGGTTAGTTTCAGACTTGTAACCCAAAGGTCTTGGGTTCGAGTCTTGGATTGTAGGTTGGCGGAGTGAATGTATAGTGCTTTCTTCCATCTTCAATACCACGACTGAGGTGAGAACCTTGAGCAAGGCACCAAACCAACTGCTCCCTGGACGCTGCAGCAAAAATGACTGCCCACTACACGTCACGTCAATAAAAAAATATATTGAATTACAAGCTTTACAAGAATTACGTTGTTTTAAAGCAATACACTTGGATGAGATGCAACATATCCCAAAGTGGCTAGTTTTTTTCAACAGTTCATCAGTAAATAAATCACTTACATACATAACACATGCAAGCCACGGAACATGAAAGAGACAATTTTTACATTTTTTCAACAAATTGTTTTTTGAATGGTGTGTGATAAAAGCCATGGGAATTCTGCCTAGGGATGCATGTTTCCTAGTGTCTATTATTGTATGTATTTTTAATTGCAAGCTGTTTCATAACATCTGTCTGTTGACAGCTCTTTGTAGGGATTCAGTCTAAAACAAGATCTGAATCATCTCTGCAGCTGGTTTGACTGCAATCCGGCCCTGAAAACCAAAACTTGATTTGATTTTAAACATCATTTTGTAATTGGGAGCATGTTCAGAAAGACTATACAACAGTAAAGAACAAAGACGGAAAAGTGTAGTCCATTTAGAAAATATCAAACTTATTTCCGAGAGGACTTGATGTTGTTTGTTTAATTAAGATTACACTCAGATCAACATAAAAATTGATATATCAATTAAGAGTTCTACTCTTTGAAGATGACATTTACAACACTGCTTCACATAAACACTTTACAAAAGAAACAAGAGAGAACAGTATTTTACAAATAATAATGGCAAATAAGGCCCATTGTATGCCCACATGCATACAGTGTAACTCATAACTTGTGAGCATGAGAAAGGTGAATCAGATACAGCCACTTTAAATCAGTAGAAAGTGCACCAGTTGCTGCTGTCGCTGGGGGTCAGGCCTCCTGTTATCAGGAGAATGAGGTCCACAAACCACCAGATGCCAAGACCGCCCAGGGTAAGCAGCTTTCCCACCGCAGTTCCAGTGTGTCCGAGACAGAACCGATCAACGCCGAAACATCCCAGGAAAAATGAGTACAGTAGGGTGGTGATGAAGTAGTGTCCTGTGTATCTTAAATAAATCACACAAAAAAAACATTGCCAATGCCTTAATAGGCTATATAGCTTTAAAAAAGCTAAGAATTGCACTAATGTGCGTTAGCTATGCAAGTACTGAACACACTGTATAAACAAAATATTATTACTTACCTACAAGGCCCTTAATGGTTTAGCTCCTGCGTACCTAACTAGTCTTCTACCACGCTACAATCCATCACGCTCCCTAAGGTCGCAAAACTCTGGACTTTTGGTAGTACCTAGGATAGCAAAGTCCACTAAAGGAGGTAGAGCTTTTTCGCATTTGGCTCCCAAACTCTGGAATAGCCTTCCTGATAACGTTCGGGGTTCAGACACACTCTCTCTGTTTAAATCTAGATTAAAGACACATCCCTTTGGCCAAGCATTCAAATAATGCATATCATAATCTTGTACTGCAGTTATAATCTGATCAAATGCACATTATTATTCCTTAGCTTGGGTTGAACAAATAATTTTTGATCGGCTGGAACAGCAGCTACGCTAATTATGTCCCTATTTGTTTCTCTGCTTTTGCCACGGGATTGACATCCCGTGGTAAACTAGGATTTACACAAGCTTCAGTCTGGATCCAGAACACCTGAGAAGAGATGATGCCAACCCCTCAGAGGACCTCAGATGATGCCAACCCTGAAACAACATACAGAACTACCACATTTTGCTATAAGTTTGATTGCATCATATAATAATTGCTGTTAATAGTGTTCATCGTCTGTTTGATTACGTCTTAAATTGATTTTTCCGTACATTTCTGCCATATGTACATAAACTGACAGTCACCACTGATAAGCTACCACTAAATATTGTAGAAACTTAATTTGCTGTAAAGTTGCTTTGCAATGATTTGTATCGTGAAAAGCCCTATACAAATAAAACTTGAATAAACTGTCCACAGTTAATAATGGGAAAAGTTTCAAAGTATATGTTTAGCGTAAAGCCTGTGAACTAGACAGTGAATGGGATCCACAGGACTTCACTGCCCTCTTGTGGTAACAAAATTTAAAAATTATGTAAAGCTCTCTTGTGAAGAAGAGGTCAAACAACAGGAAAGGCTTTGTGTAACTGGCTGCCATCTCCTGTTAGCAGGTTTCCAACGTTCTTGACAATTTAATTTTCCATGAACTTTAGTCAATTGTGTTTACTGAATAAGGATTTTAAGACCAGTTCACTCTTGAATTGTTCAGATCATTTTGTAAGTCAGTTTTGTGAACATTTCTATGGCTAGCAGTACAGTTTTACTCTACACAAGAGCAATAACACGCTCATTAAATATTTTACATCTGATATTGATCAGCAGGTTCACTGTGGTCAGGGCCGGTTTCACGCATAGGCATTCTAGGCACGTGCCTATGTTCGCTCGTCCAGGGGTGCCCAAACACAATGAAGAGATATATAATATTTTTGTTATAGGGCTATCTACAACAGTAAAAGAACCAAAACCCCAGAAGACATTGAGCAAATAAATATAACAAACAATAGGGTAAAAAATTACAAACTATTTTCATGTCTTCCACCTTTTTATGTAGGCTACGGAAATAACGTTTTTTTTCTCCCGTTCTCTCTCACAGACGCACACACAGTACAGACACGCACTTACGCACACACGCGGAGACGCGAACAGTAACTTCTTGTCAGCGTTGCCCCACGAATTTATCAATAAAATAGTTTCGCAGCTGAAAAGCTACATGACATTTCTCAGTAGCGAGGTTCTTGAAGCAGTTTAACTTAAAGGGGTGATTCATTGCGATTTCACTTTTTTAACATTAGTTACTGTGTAATGTTGCTGTTTGAGCATAAACAGTATCTGCAAAGTTACGAAGTTGAAAGATCAATGCAAACGGAGATATCGTCTTTTAAAATTCTGGCAGTTTAATGCCTACAAAAACGGCTGGTAGGGACTACAGCAAAGTTACAACAAGTTACTTGCCGGGTTCGTGACATCACAAACCCAGATAAACCCCGTCCCCGGGAACATGCAACGAAGGGGGCGAGGCCATGCTGCGCTGCTTTAGAGAAGCGGAAGAGAAAACTAGAGGTGCACATAAAAATCTATTCATATA